ACTCTCTCTGTTTACATTCATCAATCTATGAAATCAACAAAAACAAATTATCAACCTATGATCAAGCAGAACCCTATCCAGACTCACCAGATGTAACAGAATTCGATGACATTCTTTTACATAATATCTTTTTGTTCAGAACAATTTCATCAAGTTGTCTAGTTATTTCACCATTATTTTGGGCTACATTAGCTATAGCAGTATCATTTATTATCCTCATCGTTATGATCATACTTACTTATTTTCCTGAACACAAGAACTACCGTAGATTAATCAAAACTATTTTCAAACGGTTTGATTTATTAAAAGAAGGAGAACTCTGGCTTGGTGGACTTGCTTCGATTATTATTGTTGTTTTAATCATTTTTACATGTCGATTTAGTGATATGTTTCTTAATCTTTATCCTATTGAAGAAACATCACATGATGCTCGAATGGCAGTTTCATGTGATTCTTCTTTGCTTAATGCAAAATTTATAACATCACTTCAACTTCTTTCCATTCATAAACATGAACAAGAACAATCCATCTTTGATATGCTTGATCAACAACATATTACTCTTACTATTCATTTTATTGGAACTGCTTTTTCTTGTAAAAATGTGAGTATGCAACAAAATATGGATCGTGGACAAAGTATATCATCAACTAATTTTAATTGTTCATTTGATAATGAGAATTTCATTTTATCTGTTTCTACTTTGTTACCACAACATCGTATTAGTGTAGAATTTAATTTGAAAGGACCTTATTTTGTTGGTGGATTTCGTCTTTGTCTTTCAGGACCATCTAAAACACAAAATGAAAAGAAATATATTGTTGAAGAACTTGACTTTTGTCAAATGTTTTCTCCATTGAATGAAACTTTGACTGTAAATGCATTAGTAAATATTAAAATGACAAAAACAATTAATCGAACTATGGGTATGTCAATAAATGATGATTCAATGTATGGTGGTTTATGGCTACCTAAATTGTCAGTGACAACACTTTCGGATGCACTTGTTTACGAAGAAAATGGTGAATATTTACGATATTTGCCTGAAAGAACAAGTCTTATTGTTGATATGAGTGAATCAGATTTTTTTGTACAAAACACTCAAGAACCAATTGCTCGAAGAAATGAAATCATATTTTATACTGTTTTATTTTCGAGTAAGAATAGCCTTTTTTTTTCGTTTATTGATGATAGAAAGATTATTGCTTATTTTTGTTTTAGTGTTATGCTTGGATCTGTTTGGTTTGCTCTATCTTCTTATGAAACTATTAATCGTTCCTGTTGTTGACTTTATTGTAAAGCGTTACTTTACAAGTCATAGTCGAGCTTCAGACAATGATCAAGAACGAATCAAAATAGCTCAACTTGTGCGAAAGAAACTCAGAATAGCACTCCAATCGTTGGAAGTGAAAAAAAGCAAATGATCGAAATATTATAAATTGCTCTCATAGATATTTCCTTTTTCTATTCATTCGACAATAATGATGATAGAAACAACTAACGATAATTCTAGTGAAAAAACGTTGTGTACACTGTATACTAGGGGTGTGGTGTGAGTAAACAAAATACCAACACTCATACTCACATCCATTTATTTAAGAAGTTACATAAAAAAGTGATATAAAGATACTTATTAATATAATATTGTCAAGTTATGATTTTATATGACTTAATAAAGTACGGTATCAAGGAAATAAGTATAAATGAAAGTATTTTTGTGTGAATAAATACGATCGTTCATGTTTATATCAGTCTTACTTATATTTCGTTGTGTAAAATATTTTATATTGAATTTATTTGAATATAACATTTTTCCTTTTGTCTTCCGATTAGCATAAAATAATGTTCTTTTAACTTTTCTAGCTCCATCGGCCTGAGTAAGTGATACTTTTTCTGAAATATCTTAGTTTTTGAATGATTCAGAAACATGATACTATATCGAGACACATCAGTCACTATGATAGAATAGATGTCAAAAGAGAAAAAGTTCATGGAAACAGATAACATTTCATGACGAAAGAACTTCAGCATAGATCTTACCGATTCAACTATCAAACACGGTTGAGTTGCTTTGAGAATTTTGTCGTACCTTATCATCTGTATAATACATCAATCATCAAAAATGGAAATCAATCTGTTAGAATATATGTTAGACTGTTAGAGAACATGAGAAACATACTGAATTCTCTTCTACACTTACGTAATATACTAAAAGAATAATGGTATGATTGTTGCGATTAATTGGGTAAGATACGGTGTGGATTTTATGTTCGCATCCTCACTCATACCGACACCCACACCCACACCCTAACACTTATACACCCATTCATACTATTATATTTAATTTTATCAATAAATAAATGCGGAAACTTCGGATTTAAATCCGAGAGTTATGTGTACTTCAAAAAGTGAATCATACAAATCAATCATCCTAGACTATCTGAATATCAAAATTATACTGTGA